ATGCCGCGGCTGCTGGACATGCTATCTTTGCCGCTGCTGGAAACTCCGGGAAAAATCTGAAGAGTTGGCCATCCTATCCTTGCGAGTTCGCAGAGAACATCACGGGTATGCTCTGTGTCGCGGCCAGTACTTCCGACCCGGATAGGCCCGCCTCTCTCACAGACTGGTCGGACGCTGGATCGGTTACTAAGATCGCCGCTCCTGGTGTGTGGATCTATTCGACGTATCTCGCAGGACAATACAATTATATGAGTGGTACTTCGGCTTCGACGGCTACAGCTGCCGGTGTCGGCGCCTTGATCAGTAGCTTGGGAGAAGCTGGTGGAAACTTAACTGAGGTCCTTCTCAAGTCTAAAACAGCTGGTATTCCCAATAATTTCAACCTTACCGATGTCGGGGAGATTGATGCTCTGGGGGCAGTTGAAATCAGCCGATGACTCATCGGCGATGAGAAGCGGTGGACCTTGATCCGGAGAGTCTCGCCCACCTCTAAAGTCCCTATGATTTCTTTATTGATTCGTATCGTCAAGAAGTTGGCTTCAATCGGCCATCTAGCCGCTTACTGGCATCATCAGCATATCTTTCTAGAACCTTAAACCTGATCTTCCGTTAAACCTGTTGTCAGGCCATTCATACCAGGCCCGATTTATCTTGACAAGTCCTTTAGTCACAGTCTCCCTACTTTTCAAGAATAGATTTCAGGATTTTAAAATTGTCCATGTGCGTTGTGTTTGAGATGTACCGTTTTTCGTCATCGAAATCGAGAATGTGATGCTACAAGAGTTGATCGGCAAGTAGGCGTTTTCCGGTAGTGACTCGGGCGAGCGTCCTGAGAGTTGCGAAGGCTCTGACAGAGTATGACGCACGCTAGCGGCGAGAGCTACGAGTCTTGCTGTAATGAATGAAGATTGGCGGCTCCCATACCCTTCTTTAGGCCCTGCAAGCCAGGGGCCTATATCACAAGCGTCCTTAGATTAGGACGTCTTTACCTAACGTAAGGATGCGCTAAATGAGGATATTAGGAATACTAACGGCAATTAAACATAACGTAAAATATCATACAACTACGAATCGAGCCTGGATCGATCGAACACCAATCGTAAACTCTCCCTCGACACCATTTTATACTTGGTATAAACGAAATACGAATCCGTTCATCTGCCCACGGACCACAAAGATATGTCTTTATCTCCATCGCGATCACTATGTTGGGAATTAAACTCCACAGTCATAGGCATGGAAATAGAGTCGAGTGGATAGTGCAAAACGGCAACTGAGGATGTGCGCTTGAGAATAGATGAGACCTCATCAACACAGTCCCCAAGTGATATACGAATGAATGAATATATACGGGTATATACAATTATCCTCGATCATTCGCCTATCCTGGGCGAGCGCTTATCTCTCACCAGGGTGAGACACGCCCCCCCTGCCGAAGTCCCATTCTTCTTCGGTCAAGTGCAGCCACTCCAAGCGAGACTGCCCTTTATCAGCAACATCCCAGACGACCAATACTTTAGTATCTCGATGATGCATAATCGTGCTCCAGTGGTACTCCTTCGATCCGTCAATATGGGACAACCGAAATCGCACGCGTGCACCCACTAAAGTCGGACCGCACTCGCCGTCTTCACCCGAGAAATCAATCGAATCTCCATCAGGGATTCCGCGGATCCTCAGCGGGAGAAGGTTATAGTGCGATTCCATCGTTATTCGCTCGATCGCTCGATCGCTATGGGTCTTCGTCCACAACACATTATAACGTCGGTCGCTGATCGGTCTCACTACCCATCCACAAGTTGTGGATCCACAAGTTGTGTCCACCTTAAAGGTGGTAAGCCACCGACCACCACTGCGGCTTATCCTTGGAACGGGGTGCGAAGATCATAACGGCATCCCCTGCCAGGAATCCCCCACCTTTCCGTCCAAAGCGACGATCCTCCATTCGGATCTGACGCCGTTGTGATGGCCAATATATTGACATGAAGGATCGCAGGAAGAATAGCCGCCGCTGACCAAGCGAGTCACACGAAAACCCCTGCTCGACGCAACTGCCGCCCTCTCGAGTATATCCATAACGGAGATGGTCTGGGGTGAGGACTCCTAATCGACCATCGCTGGTGATATCCGCCTGTGTGAGTGGCCTTCTATTCAATATCCAACACACCTCATCGGCGAAGTCCTGCTTGGTGGTGGAAGTCCAATCTCCATGAATGCGGAATCGCCTCTGCAACAGCACCCTCGATACCTTCAAAGCTATCCTATGATGAGTCTCTACTCCTGTTGACCATGGGGCTCGTGGATCTGCTGCCATCACCGATATTCCGAACGATCTCACCGCTTCCGCATATGGCCTCGTTGCCACTGCTCCATCAGCCAACAGGTGGCGAAATCCGCCTTCCCTCTTCTGAGCTCGGGCTGTAGCTTCCGCCAGGTTACCGCTGTCGAGCCCCTCGATCGCAATCCACAGACAATGCCGAGTCAGCAGACAGAAAAAGGACATAAATATCAGATCACTGTTCACCTTGATGACATCAGCAGCTACGGCATAGTAGGGAGGACGACTCTTCAACATCATCTTATCCAACTTGAGCTCCGGGCCTTGGGATCCCGGTCCTGCCACTCCCCTGGGTTGGCTCCACAGCCTTCTTGCCGATAACAACTGGC